AGGGAAAGGGAGAGATAGAAACATCAATGGTAGGAGAAAATCATTGATTGGCTGCCGCCTGCACGCCCCCTACTGGGGATCGAGCCGCAACCCGGGCATGTGCCCTTGACTGGAATCGAACCTTTAGTTTGCAGGCCTATGCTCTATCCACTGAGCAGTTGGCTAGGGCTGACCATCACACTTTCAATCCTTGCAAAAATTTTGTGTTATCTTCAGAAAGTTACCAAGGAAATAATCCTGCCTGCCTTAACAATCCTTTGAATGTTCGAAGGAGCCAACTAACCTCTGTGGTTAGGCATCCCCTTTAATTTATATGATGAATGCAAATTTTCAAGTGGCCAAAACATGGGAGTTCTGGGCAGTATCTACAGTGAGCAGCTGACCCCAGGACGCCCAGCTTCACCACTGTAGCCCTTTAACACCTCCCTCCCTCATCTCTGCCCTGCAGGATCCTTGGTTTCCGGTTGAGTCTGGGGGCTCTGGCCTTGTTGGCCGTCCTAGCAGCTCTCGGGATTGCAAACAGCTTTCTGGATGAATACCTGGACATCGATATCGCCAAGAAACTGAAGCACTTCTAACCTCCCACCCCCTGCCCCCTTCTCAAATGCTTGCAGAAGGTATTTGTACTCTGAAGGTTATATGGTTTCACTTGTTCCATTAAAACAAAAATAAAAGCCTTGGTTCTGTTTTTATTGAAGTGGCTTTGTAGAAACACACCCTTAGAAACTCGATTCCCTGTGTCCTTAAGAATGGAAGTTTGCTCTGGGAGGGTATATTGAACCATCACTGGAAGTGCGCTGGGCCTGGTTAGAGAAGTGCAGGCTGAAGTCCTGCCCATGTGGGGCTTGGAGAGCCTGCTGCTGGACCCCGTGGGCTTTCTGTGGACCGTGGCCATCACCTGCCTCTGAGACTGCTTATCCCTGGATAGAAAGTTCCAGACAGACGCTGATAAGACAGCTGATCTCACTTAATTGGCAGCTGGAAAGCAACCCAGGTGGCTGCACGTGGGGGAATCAGGCAAACACACGGAGTAGTCAGAGCAGAGAGCCGCCGACTAACAGCACAGAATAAGCCTGGCTGTGAAAATGGGCTTTATAAAGAAAAAGGAAGGCGTATTGTTTTCAAGGCACCATCCAGGGACCTGTGCTCAGTGAGCGTTCTGCCCCTGGCAGGGATGGGGAGGGTGTGGTCGGTCGGGACCGGGCTGGGTTCTGATGCTCCCCCCGCCAACCCCCAGGCCTGGGGCCATGGCTACTGTGACCCTGTGTGCAGCCACTGCCTGGCACAATTACCATGACCTCTCTTCACTTTCTTCATTCTGTAAAATGGGAATGAGTCCGCCTCGCAGTCCGCAGGGACCTTAGGAAAACGAAATTATGAGCATGTAATATCTCATCAGGGAGAAAGCTCTCTTGTCAATTTTTCCAGAGAAAGCTGGACGCCTTGAATCTGGTGTGGATATTCAAGGAGCTGTGTATCAGAACGTCTCTCTTTTGTGTGTACAAAGGAAGTTACAAAGGTTATGAAGAATAGAAAAAGAAATAAAAGTATTTAAACCCCAGTGTTTCTAGAATAGGAGGGGAGAAAACAACTTCTTTTTTTAAAAAAAATATATTTTATTGATTTTTTACAGAGAGGAAGGGAGAGAGATAGAGAGTTAGAAACATCGATGAGAGAGAAACATCGATCAGCTGCCTCCTGCACATCTCCTACTGGGGATGTGCCTGCAACCCAGGTACATGCCCTTGACCGGAATCGAACCTGGGACCCTTCAGTCCACAGGCCGATGCTCTATCCACTGAGCCAAACCGGTTTTGGCGAGAAAACAACTTCTTACACCCCAAACCCAAGTACCAACTACCCAAAGTACGCCAAGAACATTTTGGTCTGGGGCTAGGGATATCTGGCTCCAAGCCTGTCCTCTCCACTTCCCACCCCTGCATTCGCTGTCAGACTCCCGAGCACCTCAGCAGAGGCAGAGCAGTAAGGCGGGGAGAGCTCAGAGCCGGCAACGCCGCTCCTGCTCTGAGCCTACTGGCTTCATGGCTCTCTGCTTCAGTGTTCTCACAGGTAAAATGGGGCTGATGCTCTAAAATGCTGTGATCCTGGGGCCTTTCACTTTTTAGTATTCTGATCAGTTATGGTGACTTGTATTGTGACGTTTTAATTGTCTTATACACTGAAGACAAGGAAGAGAATGCAGATATTTGACCCTAAAGCACAATTACTCCTTTGGAAGTGGGGAAAATACAATTCTTCAAATCTTACATTTGAGGATTTTTAAACAACTTCTATTTTTGCATCTAAATTGAAACTATTTAAATTATAAACACACACAGAGTTTGGTTAAACAGCATGTGGAAAAAGAAGATGGGTGTGCCATGATATCGGAGTTTTGCATCTTTAAACATCTGAACGACAGAATTTATTTCCTTTGTTCTAATTCTGTTGTCACCAAGGCAACCTCTTGATCATTTTAATTCCTACAAATTGGGCTACAGGGAGCAAACGCACTGGCTGGAGAGATGTGAATTTCCCTTCTCTTTGACAGTTACATATATATTTTTTGCATATTAGTTAAATTGATTTTATGTGTAGAAATCAGTTTATTATCTCAAGAAGTCAATATTATGAACAAAAGGGATGGAGAAGAACTTTTTTGTCTTAAAAGAGTCTAAAGAGAATAAAAACCAAATGGCAGTGTAGGATCCTTGATCAAATCCTTAGGCCCTGGCTGGTGTGCTTAATGGTTAGAGCACCAGCCTGCACACTGGAGGGTCTTGGGTTCAATACCTGGTCAAAAGCATGTACCTAGGTTGCTGGTTCGACCCCAGGGTCAGGGTGCATGACGGAAGCAACCATTCGATGTGTCTCTTTCACCCCTCCCTCCCTCCCCTCCCTTCCACTCTCTCTAAAAATCAATAGAAAAAATATCCTCGAATGAGGATTAACAACAACAAAAAATTCCGGTTAGAATAAAACAGCACAGAAGACATCTGGGAGGCAATTGGGACAATTTGAATATGGAGTGAGAATGAGATGCTATTAGGGAATGGATGTTAATTATGTGAGGTGTGATACTGATAGCGTGGCTAGGGGAGAGAACACCCGATTCTTTGGAGCTGCAAGCTGAGAAGTGGTGGGGTGAACTGGCTGGAATGTGTATAACTTACTTTGAAATGGTTCTACAAAATAAGTATGGGATTTGGCAATGTGTTAACAATTATTGAATCGAGTTGGTAAGTGTATATAGTTATTCACTGTATTATTTTTTTTCTGATTTTTTGAAAAGTATTCAAAAAAAGTTAAAAAATCTAAGCAAAGTCAAATCCTTAAAGCAGTAGCTCTTAGTAGCTGTATGTCTGATTTGGAATCTGTGGCATCCATAGAGCCAGCTGTCCTGGGAGAGGCAGGGACACGTGAGCCCCACGTGTGTGAACACTGCCGTAGTTACCTCCACCTGTTGCATGAAAAAGACAGGTGTCTGTGGTAGCTCATCCAGAAGACACCAGAATGGAAAGCTAATGTCCTTAGAACTTAAAACCAAAAGGAAAAGAGATTAGAGGAGAAAACCAAAGGGAAAAGAGGAAAATAAAATAAAAAGATAAAGGTCTGGCCTGCTGGTGTGGCTCAGTGGTTGAGCTTCAACCTATGAAGCAGGAGGTCACGGTTCGAATCCTGGTCAGGGCACATGCCCAGGTTGCGGGTTGGATCCCCAGTAGCGGGTGTGCAGGAGGCAACTGATCAATGATTCTCTCTCATCATTGATGTTTCTATCTCTTTCTCCCTCTCCCTTTTTCTCTGAAATCAATAAAAATATATTAACACGTTAAGCGCCCAGTCAGTCACTGGTGACTGACACTATACTTTCCGTCTGGAAGACAAAACAGGCTGGGCGCTTAACATGTTAAAAAAAAAAAAAGATAAAGGTCTGGTTATACAACCAGGTGTTTTCCCTCCACACTTTGCAGAATTGGAGGAGGTGGGGTGTAACCAACAAAGTCATTCATAAGGAAAAGTATCAGGTTATTTGTTTTCCACCTCTTTTCTCCAGTCTTCCTTGAAAAAAATGGCCAGAGGCAGAAATGGCTCATCCAGTGCTTCTGAATGTTCCTTAATTTTCAGCAACAAAAATACATCTTTCTCACCGGGGTAGATGCCTATTCACTTCTCTGCCCGGAGACGTCTCTGCAGTGATAGACGTTACGCTCTCCTGTGGGGCTGACCAGCAGCCCCTGAACGATGGATGAACAGATGACTCAGACACAGTTTGACGTGAAAGAGAGGGCTAAGGGGCTCCTGGCTCTAGTGGCCAGAGCAGCCTCGATTGCCTGCGTTAGCCGTTTATTCAGTTTTTATCTTTAGATACAATCAGTAGGTGAGTAATCTTGGGAGGACACGTGTTTACATTGTCCTCTAGGCAGGGGCATCCAGGGACTAAGCATAAGGCTTCCAGTAAACACCCGGGGTCTGCACGTGCACAGACTTGTCTGGAAAGGTCAAGAAATAATTAGGGGAGCCGCCTTCGTCACTCCCCTAGGTCTCCCCTAAGTCGGAATTCTGATAAACAGGGCAGGCGGCCTTCCACACACTCCCCTTTATCAGAGTGTCCCCCTTACAAACTTCCCAACCAAGTTTCATGCTTCCCAGCACTCTCCCACCTTCTTCCCTCACTCACTGAACTGGGATTTTAGAAAGGCCAATAGGATTACATATAAGAACTCGTTTTAAAGGAGAGACCTATTCCATTCATCCAGTGCAGAACATGTTTTCACTTAAATACCAGTACAAAGGTGTGGTTTAAAAATATTTTTATTGATTTCAGAGAGAAAGGGAGAGGGAGACAGAAACCTCAATGATGAGAGAGAATCATTGGTTGGCTGCCTCCTGCACGCCCCCTTCTGGGGATTGAGCCTGCAACTCAGGAATCCAACCCTGACCTCCTGGTTTATAGTTCAACGCTCAACTACTAAGCCACGCCAGCAGGGCTGATATATTTTAATTGCCCTCAAAGAAGTTGTGCCAACTTACACTCCAGTCAGTGGGCCACGACAGCATCTATTTCCCTCTACCTTTTCACCACTGGATAGTTGCCACTTTTTGGCTGATCTAATTAATAAGTGAATAAATTTGAATTTTTCTGATCAATTGTGAACTTAAGTACTTTTATACATGTATTGAACATTTGTATTTCTTCCCTGAATTTGCCCTGTCCTTTTTTGCTCATTTTTTAAATATTGATTTGTAGCAAAGTCTATTTAGGCACATAAGTGATTTGGGAAAAAATATTTACATCAAAGTACCTGGTATTTTTCATGACAGTTTGCATGTCGTCTTATTAGTTCAACTTGAACAGATTGTCATAAATGACTTCTGAATTATTAATAAAAGACATAATAATGGCACCATAGGGAGAGGGAGACAGAAACCTCAATGATGAGAGAGAATCATTGGTTGGCTGCCTCCTGCACGCCCCCTTCTGGGGATTGAGCCTGCAAACCTGGGCATATGTCCTGACCGGGAATGGAAAGGTGAATCTCCTAGTTCACAGGTCAATGGTCAACCACTGAGCCACACTGGCGGGCACAAAGGTGTGGTTTTAATCCGAACTAGGAGTGCTCAACCCTTCTCAGAGCTCCCTGTCAGCCCCTCCCCCCATCCTGTTAATTTTTCGCTTTCCTGTTACCTAGTGTCACATGGTGCAATTTGCCAGCCAGTCTGGAACCATAGCCCACGGGGGTAGGACTGGCCTCTTCTCCTGCAGCCTCCATGCCTCCATACATTAAAGTTCACCTTTGTTTCGGATCTACTTTTGACTCTCCCCAAGTGGTCTTAGGCCAGATCTTCTAGAATTGAAGGGGTGGAGTCACATGTGTGTGAACTGTGAACAAAGGGCTCCTGGGGTGGGGAACAGAAAGGGAATTGGGGAAACAGGGGAAGAAGCGCCCTAAGGAGGCAACTTTAGGCAAAGTCCCAGCCTCTGCTTGATCCTGCAGGGGGAGCTCTGGAACATAAGTCCTATTTCTGGGCTGGTCCAGGAAGTGAACTGGGCTCTCACCTGTCCTTGGAGCAGTTTAAGCACGTTAACTCTTTGCAGGAGGGTGCAGGCTAAGCCAGGCCCTGGCTCAGGGAGTCCTACAAGAGGTACAGCTGGGTGGTAGACGTAAGGCAAACTGTATGTGTGTGTGTGTGTGTGTGTGTGTCGCATGCGCATGGTGGACAGTGTCCACTCTAGTGGGGCTAAAATCCCTTTCTTACTTTCCCTCCAATATATTCCTTGAGTTTTCTTACTTTTTTTAAAATGTAATTTTTACTATCATTTTCCACGTCCCTGAATGACCCAGGTGGATTTGAACTGTTACGGTGCTAAATCCACAAATGGACTTCAGCTGGTTCCTTTCAAAGTTGACGCTCCTCTGCCTCCTTGCCTCCTCCCGCAGAGGACAGATTTAGAAAGCTTTAGTTGTGCGGTTGAATTAAAAAGGCTGCAAGTGACTGATTGCTCTGTACTATTACATAAATGTTTAAATAATGATATCAAAATTTTGAGACAAGAACTGCAGTTAATCAATTACAACCCAGGCATAATATATCAGCTTAATTAAGGTTGGGAATCCAGTGACAATCCAAAAATAGACTATACTTTGGGTTGATTCAGATAACAATCTTTTATTTGTTTTTTTTTCTTTAAAAGTGGTATGTCAACATCACTTCATTTCTACATTTCAGAGTTCTGTACATTTCTTAAGAGGAAATAAGCAATGCTCAATGTACAAAGTAAAAAGAGAAAACTAGAAAAATCTGAATAAAATGGAGCAAGTTGCCATAGGTCATACAGTACAAATTAGTAATTAGATGTCATCTGAAGTGCAATACCACTGCTGTGATGATGAGTTAAGGGATGAAATAAAAATACTCTATTTTAAACAAACAGTATATATATATATTTATATGTATATTTTTTTACAGATAGTAGACCCAGTGATATCTGCAGTATTGTAAAAACTTATTTACAAATAACTTCTTTAGACATTACATATACATCAGCACCGTAGTAAAAACAAAAACAGAACAACGTTATTAAAATCTACCTCTCTAGTTAGTTGGTCCCAGGACTGGGCATTTGGAGGAAGCTTTTAAAAGGGAATGGAGCCGCTCCTCCATCAGCCGCCTCTAGCTTCTCATCATTGCTTCTATATTTATTTCCTGTACCTTTCAGAAAAAGGCAATTATATATTCTGTCTTCTTGTTTGCTTACTTTTTTTTTTTTTGGTTTTCATCTGTTTCCACTCAGGAGTTTCCCTGGTGTTGTCTGTCCCCATGCAGGTGTTCACGGTCACCCTGCTAACACCTCTTCCCAGAGATAGCACGGCCCCTGCCTGGGCTCCGGCCCACCTGGCCACCTCTGTCTCCATCCTGGCCCTCGCTGGATGCATCTATAGCCCTAGGACTTGGAGAGCAAGTCAAGGCCGCATGTGCCTGCCTGCCTGACGCCTCTACATCCTCTGGCCCCAGCTTTCCATTCTAACTCCTTTCTCAGGACCTTCCCCCAGGGCTGCCAGTTCAGTTCCCATGGGCCTCAGCGGGGGCTCAGGTGTGACGACTTGCTCCAAGGGGAGCCAGCCTTTCAGACACAGAGGGTGCGGGTGGGAGGAGAAAAGCACACGTCACTCTCACTCAGGACAACAGTTACGCCACCGGCCTCCACAACGGGACGGGGTGGGGGGTGGGGGAGGGCGAGGACTTACACACAAGTCCTTGTAAATAAGAGACAAGCCTGACAATGCAGACAGGCTTCAGTTAGGGCAGCTTTGAGTGAATTACACAGAGAACAACTGTACAGGACTTCTGAAGTGGGTGACTGCCCCAAATGGAAGGAACCGTATCTTTCTCCTTTATGTCAGCAAAACATGTAAGGTGGAGTAAGTGATTTTTCAACGCCTCCTCTCTCAGGGGTTTAGATTTGTCTTTCTGGTGAGTAGGGGTTAGGGGCAAGGCCGATTTTAGCGGGTTGCCCCTGGATTTTCCCACAGGGGAACCCTCCAGGCCGGTCCTCCCGGGGTGCACCAGAGGTGTCAGGTGCGGTGTGTGTGAGCCCACCCGGAGCCTGCTCAGTTCGGGGCAGACTATCCCCTCAACTCCACACGCGGTAGAGAAAGAACACGCCAGGGTCGCCTTGGCATTTCAGACCTAAGATCTTGCATTTATTTTGACTCTGCCCAAGCTCCCTAGAGACAAAAATGTCATTATTTCCTGGAAGGACGCTGGGGTGGACACAGGAGGGACGACGGTGGGGTGGGGGAGGGAGGCGGTCACGGGGCAGGACAGTGTCCTCAGGGTTTCCCCTGCCCTGCGGCGCCAGTAATGGAGGGGAACTGCCTGGATGTGTCATTCTGGGCTCCCAGGAGGCTCCAGCTCAACTACCGGGAGCGATGGCCACCCGGTCACCAGCAGCGGGCTGCCCCAGGGACCACGGGGCCGACCCTCCTCCCAGCTCACGGGATGTCCTGCTGAGGCC